CCACTGCTCCGGGTGTGTGTTCACGGTGTGTGTGTGCACTTTGGATGGGTAAATGCAGAGCACTAATTCCTAGTATGGGTCACCATACTTGGCCACATGTCACGTCACTTTTCACTTTAAAATTTAATTTGTACACCAAAAAAACAATGTTACCAATAAAATGGTACTATTTATCCCAGTATTTGGCCATTGCAGTGAGCTGAGCAGCAATACTCTGAACACATCTGATCCGAGACCAGTTGTAGTGAGAGATGGTGGTCCTGAGGCAAGATTAGACATGAAGTGCTTAGAAACCTTGGAGAGATTACGCAACATCAAGTATTTTTACTTTTAAGGATATATCACACTGCCATAGGGTACAGTTAGTTAAACAACATAACCTAACTTAACCTAGCAAAACTACACAAGCATTGTTTGCATGTTTGGAGCAGCGTTATCAGGAGGGTGAAGCTCATAAATTTGAACAATGGCTTAAGCTGAACGCTCACAATGAGGGTCAAACTCATAAAGCACAAAGATAAGAGGGTCAGATGGGGAAAAAAAAGCACCACTGACCTTCTCTGGGAGGGCTGACCCACAGGAAGCACTTTATCTTCATAAAACCGCTTCATGGCAAACCTGTCCAGAGCCTGGTCTGCACTGCAGAGGCAAAGCAAACACTTACATTATTGCAAACGCTTGGGCCATTTTCTTCAATACAAAAAAAAAAAAAACTCATATTCATAATAAGCATCTTTGGCTTGTTTTCCAGTAATAGTATTTAAATGTGCTTCTTGAATTTACTGGAAGCTTTTTGTTCATAAAAATAGCATGAATGCACTTTTTTGCATCAGGGATGAATTTGATCAGCACTTAATTTGAGTCTTGAGACAAATCCGCCTTTGTAAAATGATGCAATTTGGCAGCTGTTTTTCATGTGTTACCTAACTCTTGGCCGGTCTTGTGATGTGGGATTAAGGTCTTTCCATAATAAGTGCTCAGAGGAGCATCTTTAATTCAATAAACACGGACAGTACGCTGTCTACACATCTTACCTCGCTGATATGTTGCTGTAATGCATGTATGCAGCCACAACTACCCCCGTTCGACCTCGGTTTCCCTGCAGGAAGAGAGGAAGATGGGATTATCAATGAATGCAATACATTGTCAGATGGGGAAAACAAAGCACCACTGACCTTCTCTGGGAGGGCTGACCCACAGGAAGCACTTTATCTTCATAAAACCGCTTCATGGCAAACCTGTCCAGAGCCTGGTCTGCACTGCAGAGGCAAAGCAAACACTTACATTATTGCAAACGCTTGGGCCATTTTCTTCAATACAAAAAAAAAAAAAACTCATATTCATAATAAGCATCTTTGGCTTGTTTTCCAGTAATAGTATTTAAATGTGCTTCTTGAATTTACTGGAAGCTTTTTGTTCATAAAAATAGCATGAATGCACTTTTTTGCATCAGGGATGAATTTGATCAGCACTTAATTTGAGTCTTGAGACAAATCCGCCTTTGTAAAATGATGCAATTTGGCAGCTGTTTTTCATGTGTTACCTAACTCTTGGCCGGTCTTGTGATGTGGGATTAAGGTCTTTCCATAATAAGTGCTCAGAGGAGCATCTTTAATTCAATAAACACGGACAGTACGCTGTCTACACATCTTACCTCGCTGATATGTTGCTGTAATGCATGTATGCAGCCACAACTACCCCCGTTCGACCTCGGTTTCCCTGCAGGAAGAGAGGAAGATGGGATTATCAATGAATGCAATACATTATTTCATGTCTCCATTATATATGTGTAAAAATGTATGGAATATTTAACTCAATTTTAGTTACAATTAAGTGAACTTCTAACATCAAAAACTGGCAATTTGTATATATA